CACACACACACACACACACACACACACACACACACATCATTCAAACACATAAACTAAGCGACTGCAGCAGCTCGGCCTCTGGTATCAGAGTCTGAATCCGTTTCTGACCTCATGTTGGTGATGAGTTTCTTGATGGAGTCCGACACAGTCCTGGAGTGTCCTGCCAGCACTGACCACTTGGGGGGGTCTTTGGGGTTGACAGCCAGAGAGCGGGCGGTCTGGATGAGGCCGGTCGAGCTCTCCAGCATCGTCTTCGCTGCGACCACGATGGGCTCCATGGCTGCGTGACCCTGAGGGAGGCGACCGGAAGTCAGTTTAGAGATGCAGGAAGTAAATCCACGTTTGTACCACATCATTATAACGACGCCTCCAGTTCCTGAGCGTGACGTGAGGACGTACCTCGGAGCTGATCTGAGCCGGGATGCTGGCGAACTCTGGGTTGGAGGCGAAGGCCGTGAGGTTGTCGACAGCTTCGATCAGAGGACCAGTGGCAGCTTTACACTTCTCTCTGTTCTCGTGGTTAAAGGCTCCGTCTAAAGCCTGAACACACGTGTTAGACTTGATTACACATCAACACTCACGACACCTGGGACGTTTTCAATGCTTTTGGTTTTACACACAACATTTCAGTATTTGTTTACTATAAAAACCACGAACATGCTCGATGAACCTTTTGAAAGCTGAAAATGTGACTTCAGGTGTCAAACTAATAGAGCAGCTAAAATCAATTCTGCTTCTAGATCCAGTTTCACTACGAACCTTGATGGACTTGACCAGGTTGGCCGTGGTGTTGGCCACTTCTTTGGCCGACTGCACAAACTGCCTCTTGGCGACAGGGTTGGGAGTTTTAGAGGACGCCAGGCGGCAGGCGTTACACAGAGCCGAGGTGTGTTTGGCCACAATGGTGGCGGCAGAGAGAACCTGAGAAGAGAAGCAGCAGCACATGAAGAGGGACTGACACCGAAGTCCAGCTGGATGTTGCAGAGACGTCAGCGTGTACCTGAGACTGCGTGCAGGCGGGGTCCACCAGGTTCTGACACGCCATCTGAATGGACTGATTGGCCCGGGCAAACTGAGAGGGGTCCACCAGACCCTTCTGACCCGCGGAGCTGTTGGGGTCAGACACTCCCACCAGATACGCTGCCTACGAAACATCAACAGATCACAAGGCGTCCTCTTTAAACTCCTTTTCTACGTTCATCTGTGAGCAGGTGACTCTGAGGCTCGGTCACACGTGAATGTGAAGTGAACAGCCAGCTGTGATTGGCCTCGCCACAGGAAGCCCCTCCTCCCTCACAGAAAGACAACGAAAGGTTCAACCCTGAAGCGTTAACGTATGTGTGACCGAGTACTAAAACTGTTTTCAGACACAAACTCAGGACTCGCTGTGAATGTTAAAGACATTTTCCTGCTGTATTCTCACATGGACTCATTTCACCAGGGGACGAGTTCCAGAACCTCCAGAACTTTTCAAGAACTGTGGTTCAGCTCAGGTCTAAAAACAGCTGTAATGGTGTCAGACGACAGAATGAATCCATAACCGTCAGTCGTGATTTTACCTGTGCAGCTGCTTCAGTCAGACCACACAAAGCTTTGGAGCCAGCGCTGACCGAATCACCAAACTCTGGCAAATTGGAATTCTTGGCATTGTGGGAAATCCCAGCCATGGACTCACCGAGGACCTGTCGAGGAGAAATCACAGATAGAGTCGCGAGACACGGTTCAGTTTAATCTTTACTTCTAAACCACGAATGATTCAGTGAGAAGAAGCTAAGCTGTAACTGAAACATGTGAAGCATCTGAAACCAGTTTCTATCAGTTCAGACACAAAACTCTTCATTTTATTTCAGGAGGTTTCACTTCTGTTGTTTTATCAAAATGTTTTTGGGGAAATTCCAGTTTCAACTGAAAACATTTGAATGTTTACTGAAATCCAAAATATGCGTTTCCCGAAACCCCTCCGAACACGTATTAAAGTACTACAACAGTGTATTTAAATCAATGAAAACGTGTTGGAGTCTTCAGGTCTCAGCTCTTTTATTTTCTTGTGTCTGAAGTGAGTTTCTGTTCTGCAGGTTGTAAACGACACTGAACCCGACGGGAGTTCATTGATCGAGACTCTTCAGCTGTGAACGAATCAGATCTGTAAACACATGGAACTGCTGCCACCTGCTGGGTGGTGGTGTGTACTGATGTTGATCTGACTGGCCTTCTCTTGAAGACGATTAAAAACATACAAGAGACTTATTTTTTATATAATAGTAATATCTCATATTTGGCTTTAATGTCTTATCTTCTGAAGGTCTCTAATTGCTCTCATGGGGAGCCCCCAGCGCCCTCTATTGGCCAGCAGCAGCGAGTATCATATAAATTCGTGAAGATACGGAGCTCGTCTGAGAGAAGTGACACTTCCTCTACTTCTAAATAAATCCAGAATAAAACAGAACCTCCCGTGAGACGAGAAGTTACGTTTGTAAGAAGTAGAGAAATGAAAGCAGAGATGATGGGAAACAAACCTTAGAGTTCTCCATGACACTGTCGATGCAGTCGAAGTACGACAGCTCACTGACGGCTTCTGTCGGGTTCTCCAGCATCCCCCTCACGGACTGCACACACACACACACACACACACACA